ATAGTGATGCGACAAATTCTGTTCCCGGTGATAGTTTTATAGTATGTAATGAAGCGGATTTTGGTTCCTTTTATAGTTTTATTATAGTTTATCGTAATTTATCATGTTGAAACATGCGTTCGGTTGGGTTTAATCTGCCCCTTCATTATTAAAGAAATGAAAGAAAGAAAAAAACAAATAAACGAAAATATATGGAGGCCGTGATATAGCGACTCTGTATTTGCTCACTGCCGCCGTCAGTGGTCTGCATATCAATATGAAACGCGCTCATAGCTCGTACATCGGTCGTCCATATGACGAATCCGCTAGAGTTGCCCTAATTGCGGTGTTTGTTTTGGCTAAATACTCAAATGAGAGCTTTTCTTTTTTGACAAACACTCAAATGAGAGCTAGTGACATCCTAGTCGAACACAAAAGAAGAAGAAGAAAAGAGCCAATCAATCCGGGCTCCCTTTGGCCAACCCAACCAATCTATTCACGGAGAGCCTGAGCGGCGCACAGCGCAACAGCGACCAAAAGTATCATAAACCCGGGCATCTCTCGGGCCGGGCCGGGTTTCGGGCCGGGCTCAAAAAAGCCCGATGCTGAGATGTGAAGCCCGAGCCCGAAAAAAAGCCCGAGAAAATTCGCGTTCACGAGCCCGAGCCCGGCCCGGCTGAAAAGCCCGAAGCCCGAAGCCCGGCCCGAAGCCCGACAACTCTTGATCCTGATGTACAGCAAGTTACAGAATCAACATCATATGCACAAAACAGCAGCATATGCACACAAAATAGTAGCATATACATATTTCACAAAAGAGCTCTGCATTGCACAAAACAGCAGCATATGCATATACATATACATGTAATGCATTCATTACATAACAGCAGCATATTTCTCAAGCCAAAGACATAAGCAACATAGTTCAACAAGTCCGCAACATACTTTCGAAGTTTCGATAAGCCCACAACAACACAACATAGTTCAACAAGTCTGATTACATAACAGCATATCAAATAACAAGTCCATTACATAATAAAGATATCAAATAGCAAGTTCAAACTTCAAAGCCACAAGTTGATGACTCTTTTGAATCCATCTCTTCCTTATTCCATCAAGCTATCTCAACTTCATCATTTTCCTGGATGAAAGCACAAGTTGAAAATAAGGAAGATAGGAATGGCATGAAGCAGGAAAGCAAGTTTGATATCAACAAACAAGACAAGATACTAAAGGAGTGCATGAATGAATACAAACCGAATCTGAAGATAACTCATTTGCATGAGAACTTGAAGGTCCACCTCCTGTAGTGCTCATTTCTACAAAACAAACAATACAAGAATCAATGGTAATGTGTGCAATGGTGATGTTAATATGAAACAACAATAGATGCTTAATTGTACCTTCACTCTGAGACATCTTCCAACGATACCAATCTTGGAGACACATTAAAGCCTCGATGGTCTTAGGCTTAAGTGAAGCTCGGTTAGGTGTTATAACTTTGCGACTCATGCTAAAGGCTTGTTCTGAAGCAACACTAGAAATGGGGACAGCAAGAATATCCCGAGCCATTGATGCAAGCTCAGGGTATCGCATAGATGATTTGCTCCAAAATTCCAAGACATTCAACTCGTCATTCAATTTTCTAGGAGTTTCTTCCAAATAAAGATCCAATTGAGACCTCTCTACATTTGTCCGTTGAGATTGAATGTAACTCTTGTAGTCATCGAACATATCGGAACCATCTCCCCTACTTCCCCTACTGTTTGTAGCACCATCTGATGGTGTTTGACTAACAGCAGCACCACTATATTCAGCAAACAAACTCTCCAAAGTTTTCTTAACTTCATGCATCCGACGTTGTGCCTCGTCAGGGGCATAAAGTTTTCCATAACAGTAGCTAACAAAACCAAGCTTGCAACGGGGATCAAGGACAGCAGCACAAGACAAGAAGACATTATAATCAGCCCAATATTTATCAAACTTCTCTTTCATTGGAACTAACATTGGTGCCATGAACTCATGTCCTTCACTAAATGCCTTCAAGACACATGATTGAACCAAGAACACACACTGGAAATACAAATTGGAGGTAGGATACTTTGTCCCAGACAATGTGCACGTCACTTTATAAAATGTTTTCAAGAAATCATGCATGATACGAACCTTTTCCCATTCATCATGAGTAAGAGAGAAGTTTGACTTGAATATGCCATCCCTATTACCAAACCACAGTAATGCATCCTTGAAATACAAAGCATTCTCAAGCATTGTGTATGTTGAATTCCAACGGACGGGCATATCTACTCTCCCAAGCTGTGGGCCGCAAAGTGGAAACGGTTGCAGGCCAAAGCTGTCCCCCTTTGCCACTAAGACTTCAATCTTTAACCATCGGAATACCCGGTACTCTCTCTACCAAACAGGCAAGATAGTCTTATCTTGAACTCTGTCCCTTCTCTAATGATTGACAGGTTTAGTGCCTGGTAGTAAGGGTATTTTGTGGTCTATTGTCCTCCTAGGAGGTCACTCTGTAGGCTCAGCAAACAATTCACTGAAGCCATTCAAGACCGGTTGCAGGGCAGACAGACCATTGACTTGACATGACCGTAATACATACAGAATAGGAAGGATAAGCTATAAGATAGAGATCCGGATTGTTGTGCTCCGGAATAAAGAAGAATACCATCTTGTCTAATCAAATACGAATACCATCGCCTTTTATCTTCATTCAAATGGTAAATGTTCTTGGCAGTTTCATAGAACTTGTGAATACGATTGCTAGATATTTTGATATATTGAATTCCCTCTCTAATCTTGTCAACAGATTTATCAATAAGTTTCAAACCAGCTTGGACAATCAGATTTAAAATGTGTGCACAACATCGGACTTGAAAGAAAGTTCCAAACAATGGTAACACACCTTTAGGCAGCAATGTAGTTCTCAAAGTGTTGATCATCGAATCATTGTATGCAGCATTATCAAGAGTCATGCACATTATTTTGGTATCAACCTTCCACTCACGAAAACATAAATGGACTTCATCAGCAATTGTAGCCCCATCATAAGGTGGATTCAACTTTTTAAACCATATTATCCTTTTGTTCAGTCTCCAAGCATCATCAACATAATGACAAGTAATACAAATATAACTAAACTTTGTCACATCTGATTTCCAATTGTCCGTGGTGAAGCTAACTCTACCACGGCTATTGCTTATAGTTTCTCTCAATTCAGTCCTCTCTCTTTCAAACATTGCCATGATATCCCTTTTAATTGTGTACCGACTAACAATCTTAAACTGAGGACAAGCAGCACCAATCATTTTTTTGAACCCCACTTCTTCTATGACACTAAATGCATGTGAACCCCCAACTAGGAACATAGAGATTGCAACTCTAATAGTTTCCATGTCCAACTTTGTGTTCCTAACTGAATGTGAGCCATCCGCATTCTTTTCAGTTTTCAGAAAAAAGCTGTTCACTTCATGAGTATTATGTGGATGCACGTTAGCAGTATGCCTTAACAAATGAGATGTTCCATTTTTCGAACTTGCTCTAAGTATGGCTTTACAAGTTTTGCACTGAGCAAATACTTGATCAGGATCAGGTTGTTCAATCAAAGTGAAGTTATCCCATGCTTTTGACCTTAATTTTGGCGCAGGATTAACCTGTGGTCCGGGTGGTGGCGGTGGTGGTGGCGGTGGCTGCTGATTCGCTTCATCTCCATCGGATGGCTCATTAGTTCTTGCACGCCGTCCGTTACGTCCTGCTGGAGCTTGTTGATTCAACCTTGCCCGCTTGCTGCGAGTGCGAGGTGCCGCGGCAGTACGAGCAGGGGCAGCCGGACAAGGAACGGGAGCAGCTACAATGATCTGGTCCGATCTTGCACTTGTAGCAATATTCTCCTGATCACCATCGGCTTCATAATCCACGTCTTCCTCCTCGTGATATTCCTCACTTAGACTCCACAAACTAGTCATGGCTGCCAAAAAACACAATAAATATGCTCAGACTAGCACTTACACAGATCGTTCAGAGAAGGAGAATACTACACATTAAGGAGACAGAAGATTCAGAGAAGGAGAAGAAGTACAGGAGATCTCATACCTGATGGTCACACGCCGACCAGTGAGCGCCGATGCAGTGAGTCGCGGAGCAGTGGACGTGGTCGCCGTCGGGTCCAGGAAGGTGCGGCGCCGTCGGGTCGAGGAAGGTGCGGCGCTGTCAGGTGGGTGCGGCGCCGTCGGGACGAGGAAGCTGCGCCGCCGCTCGTTAGATCGGGATGGGGAGGGAACAGAGCTCGTCAGGTTGGGGTAGGGAGAGAGCACCACGGCCGCGCCATAGCAGGATCTGGCTGCCGCCGGTGGAGCAGTGTGGGACTCGGGGTCGGGGAGGGTTGGGGACGGCCGGACGGGGTAGTCGTCTCTCGTCTGGGACTCGGGGAGGGTTGAGGACGGCCGGACAAGGCTGTGTGTGCGGGTGCGGGGAGGGGATAGGAGTTAGGGTTTGTGTATTGGGCTGGGGGCGCTGGGCTTTCGGTTGGGCTGGGGGTGTCTAGTGTGCATTCGAGTTTTTCAGCGAAGGTTCAGGCCGGGCCGGGCTTTGCTTCGGGCTAATTTTGGAGCCCGAGCCTGGCCCGAAAATACAAACCTGTCTATTTTTGAAGCCCAAGCCCGGCCCGAGACAGAAGCCCGGCCCGGCCCGGCCCGGGTTTTTCGGGCCGGGCTCGGGCCGGGCTGCCCACGCCCGGGTTTCCCATCCCACCCACGCGGACCAAACCCTCCTCCAAGCTGAAGGAAGGCACGCCAAGCCCAAGGCCGGACCGACCCGCCCCCCTAAAATCCCAATCCCTTCTCCCGTCCCTCTTCCCTTCTCCATCCCATCCCCTTCCTCAACGAGCGAACGAATCCAATCCCCCTCGCCCACACATCTCGCCCCGCCCTGCCCCCCCTCCCCTTTCCCTTCCCCCGCAAGCAACGACGGGCGGAGAGCGGCGCGGGGATCGACGTCCGGCGGCGGCGATGAGGTCGACGGACTCCTCGTCGCGGTTCGTGCAGGAGCTGGTGCTGTACGCGGCGAGCGCGGCTCTCAGCTGCCTCGTCCTCTTCGCCGGCCTCCGCCAGCTCGACCCCAACCGCGAGTCCTCCAAGAAGGCGCTCCAGCACAAGAAGGAGATCGCCAAGCGCCTCGGCAGGCCCCTCATCTCCACCACCCCCTACGAGGTAGTATCACCGCCCTCCACCCATTCCAATCCAACCCAATCCAGTCCAGTCCAGGGTTCGCCGCCTCGCACGCGCACGCGCGCCCGAATTTAATCCCCGGATTGCTCGCAGGATGTGATTGCGTGCGACGTCATCAACCCCGACGAGATCGACGTCGAGTTCGAGTCCGTCGGCGGCCTCGACGAGGTCAAGCAGGCGCTCTACGAGCTCGTCATCCTGCCCCTGCGCCGCCCGGAGCTCTTCGTCTACGGCAAGCTCCTCAGCCCTCAGAAGGGGGTGCTCCTCTACGGCCCGCCCGGGACCGGCAAGACCATGCTGGCCAAGGCCATCGCCAAGGAGTCGGGCGCCGTCTTCATCAACGTCAGGATATCCAATCTCATGAGCAAGTGGTTCGGCGACGCCCAGAAGCTCGGTAAGCCACCTCCAAGATTGTGCCCTGTTTGCTGGAATTGATCCTTCCTGCTTCTAACCTTTGCTCTGTGTATATATCTGTTGTAAAGACGCTCATTTTGTGTAACTCTGTGCCAGTGTCTGCCGTGTTTAGTCTCGCCAACAAGCTCCAGCCCGCCATTATCTTCATCGACGAGGTTGATAGTTTCTTGGGACAGCGCCGGAACACAGACCATGAAGCTTTGACTAATATGAAGACAGAGTTCATGTCTCTATGGGACGGTTTCACCACCGATCGTGAGCACTCTCCCTTGTTGCTTTCATAACATACTATATATTTATAATACAGGCTCATATCTACGAACAACGTTGTAAAGTAGTACGTAGTATCTTGGCCTCTTAGAGTAGCAGTCTGCATGCAGATAACAATTAGACACGTACCACTATCCAAGGACTTTAACGTATTGATCTGTACTGAAAAGTAATGTCGTCAAAATTGCACTATAAAAGTATGTATTAACAAATGACAATCATAACGCGCTGACGTGCGCAACCATGTGATCGGCCGTGCGCGCGCACGCTCAATGATGAATCGATGACACATAGCTCACGTGTGTTGCATCCAGCACGTGTCACACGTTTTGTCCTGTCGGGCCATAGAGCAGTCCATTAACAAAATGTACTCCTGATAATTTGCAACTTACAGACATCTGTTATTTTGGATCATTAGGATTTATATACAATTTACTTCAATGTTCCCCTGAACTCGATAGTCAGCCGATGATTTACATGATTTCATCTCTATCAAGTATATCACCCCATTAGAACCATCCCTTGAACAATAATTTTGGAATGGAGGGAGTAGTATTGTGGCCTAGAGTAGCAGTCTGCATGCAGATAACAATTAGACATATGCCACTATCCGAGGACTTTACATATTGGTCTGTACTGAAAAGTAATGTCATCAAAATTGCACTATAAATGTATGTATTAACGAACGACAATTATAACGCGCTGACTTGTGCAACCAAGTCCTATGGCGCGACACAGTCCGCACGTGATCGGCCGTGCACGCACACGCTCGATGATGAGTCGATGACGTATAGCTGATGCGTGTTACATCCAGCGCGTGTTGCACATTTGTCCTGTCACACCATAGAGTATAGTCCATTAACAAAAGGTACTCCTGATAATTTGCACCTTACAGACATCTTACTTTGGATTATTAGGATTTATATACAGTTTACTTTGGATTGTTAGGATTTATATACAATTTACTTCAATGTTCCGTTGAACTCAATAGTCAGTCGAGGATTTACATGATTTCATCTTTATCAAATATACATTACCCCATTAGAACCATGCTGGCGAAAAAAACATTTTCTCTATATGTTCACACTACGTAAACAATTTTCATTCTCGTATTTTTAGGAAGTATGTAAAAATTTACATATATCCGCTTGACCTCAGTCCAATACATGTCAATTTGATGATCTTACATGATTTCATCCCATAAAAGCATGTATCAACAAAATTCATTTTTTGGTCATTTAAACCATGCATTTTTTTTGTTTGTGTTAATAATTTACATGGTAATTTAATTCTTTGTTCTGTTCAGCTAAGCCTAACAAATGTACTCCCTCTGATCCATACTAATTGATGTTGCCTTAGTACAAATTTTAGTACTGTACAAAGCTGTACTAAAGCAGCGTCAATTAATATGGATCGGAGGGAGTACTAGCAGTAAATACAACAACTTTCATGTCCAAGTTTATGGGAAATTGACTTCACAGAAGTGTTGTTCATGTAATTACGCTAAATAAATACTTGGTTTACTGCCTACTTTTGTCTTGCTTAGGAATCTACTGGTTTCGGTTTTTAGTGCCAACGATATTCTCATGATCATATAATTTGTATGACACCTGGATTATTGTTTTATTTGAGTGAAAATGTTTTCAACCATGCCATTTTGTTCAGAGTACTCTCCCTTGACCTTACACCTTGGTTTAGAAATCTCAAGTTAAAATTAGATAGTATGACATTTTATGTCACAAAGGTATTTCTGTAAGAATGAAATGAGCAGACTGGAGTCTGTTAGTAGTTTACTTCATGATACACTTGTTGTTGCTAGTCATATGAGGTGAGGTGCTTTTAACAAACATGGGGCAACTAATGTACAGCAATCAGACTAACAACCTAACGCAAAACTGACACTCAGAATCTACCTTTGTGTACATGTAAATTATTTTGTTGCTTTTATGTGGTTAGTGTTATTTATGTGAACTTTAGGTGTTCATGTATCATGCTTGTATGTGATCTGTGATGCTAACTTTAAGCTGTAGTAGTACAGCAATTTTAAGTTAGTAAATATCCTTTTTTATTTCGGAATATCAAATGCAGAAAGGATGTTGCAATCTTAACAGAAGATAAAATGATATGATAATAAGTGGTCATGGTTATACGTCTAAACTTTTGATCTCTAAGGTGGACATGAGATAGTTTTTTTTTCCTGGAGAATGAATGATCAAGCAGATTTGTTCTGATGCCCCGTTGGTTACCCACATGAGATTTGCTTGGCCTATGATACATCTGTAAATAATGAATGTGCAAGTTACAATAGAAACTTCCATATGAAGTAATATCTCCTGACAATTATTATGGTTGTGTAGAGAATGCTCGTGTGATGGTGCTTGCTGCTACAAACAGACCTTCTGAGCTAGATGAGGCCATCCTCAGGCGCTTCACGCAGATATTTGAAATTGGGGTTCCTTCTCGCAGTGAAAGAAGCAAGATACTTGAGGTTATATTGAAGGGAGAAAATATCGAGTCTAACATTGATTACGATTACATTGCCAGTTTATGTGAGGGCTTTACTGGGTCAGACATCCTAGAACTGTGCAAGCAGGCTGCATTCTATCCTATCAGGGAGATTTTGAACAGCGAGAAAGATGGGACAAGAGCCAATGTGAGTATTCAGTACTTTCTCTACAGTGAATTAACTTCCCTTTGGTATTCTACCCTATCAGGGAAGTTCCCTTTTGTTTGGGAAACCTGCATTTATGTCTGGATAGCGAAATAGGACCATAAAGCTATTAACTGTTAACGTAAGTTCCTCATTATGCATTCGTTGGTTCTGACCTTTTTGCTTGTAACTGCCGCCTCAGAGTCCAAGACCCTTGAGGCAATCGGACCTGGAGAAAGCTTTGTCAACATCTAGAAAGGGAAAGAAGGCCGCAAGCAGTGCGGCGTCAGGTCTCCAGTCGCCTGAGTGGATCCGGCCGTCGGATCCTGAAGATGACCAGGTACAGAGCGCAATCTTTGAGATATCTAAGCTGATGTCTCGAATAGTTCAGAACAGTCAGTCGGAACCGCAGGAGCCGTCTTCACCTTAATCTAAAAACAGAAGGTTTTCCTTTTGCTAGATCTCTGAAAAATCCGCAGTGGAGTAAGCGCTGGCATTACCTACCTAGATTCAGCATATGTATTGGTTCGGTCGGTTAGCGTCGTGGGGCCGCTCTCTGGTTTTTGAAGTTTATTGCAGCTGGCAAAGCCCCGCACTGATGTTTTGAGTCCCATCGTTCTCTGTGTGGAAAATTCAGAATCTTGTAATTTTCGTTTTGGAACTTGACTATTGTAGGGTAGACAGACTCCTATACATACTGAAGAAATGTGCCCTTCCATCACCATTCCATTCCATGGTTCAATCATACCATTCGTTCTTTTCATACCATCTGAACATTATTTACAACCCTGTCTCTGTTTTGATTCTTCGTTTTCGCCTCGGATGAAGCCAGCATCAATAACATAAACGATCAGTGACGCTTGTATTTTCAGCAAGAGATGCTGAATCTGTCAGCCATGAGCTGCGCGATTGGTGTCTTCACGGCGCTGGTTTCATGAACGATTTGAGACGCTTGTATTTCCAGCCAAGAATTAATTAATCGCTGAATACATCATATGGCATAGTATCGTATTCGTATCACGTCGAGCATGAAGAGCACCTGCTTGGTGTCTTCATGGCGCTGGTTTCCATCATGGACAGCTCCTGCGACAGAGAAATGCCCTTGAGCACCAGGACGTCGTCGTCGCCGTCACCGTTGCCTCTGGCCGCCTCCAGCGGCTTCCTGGACACGGCGGCGTGGATCTCCTCGAGCAGGCCGAGGAAGGCGGCCTCGACGTTGTCGCCGCTGAGCGCGGACGCCTCGTAGAAGAAGAGCCCCTGCTCCTCGGCGAAGGCCTCGGCCTCGTCGGCCTCCACCTCCCGACGCCCTGGGACGGCGGCGAGGTCGGCCTTGTTGCCGACGAGCGCGACGACGATGGACTTGTCGGCGTGGGCGCGGAGCTCGGCGACCCAGCGCGCGGCGTGGGCGAAGGAGTCCCGGCGCGTGACGTCGTAGACGAGCATGGCGCCCAGCGCGCGGCGTGGGCGAAGGAGTCCCGGCGCGTGACGTCGTAGACGAGCATGGCGCCCAGCGCGCCCCGGTAGTAGGCGCTGGTGACGGCCCGGTAGCGCTCCTGGCCGGCGGTGTCCCATATCTGGGCCTTGACGCGGCGGCCGGCGATGTCGGCGGCGCGCGTCTGGAACTCGATGCCGATGGTGGACTTGGAGTCGAGGCAGAAGTCACCCCAGCAGCTGCGTCTTGCCCACCCCCGAGTCGCCGATCACCACCACCTTGAACACGTAGTCCTCCTCCATCGGGCTGCCTCCGGCGATCGGTCTGAACTCAAACTCCGGCGGCTGGCTAGCTCGGCTGCACCTATATATGGCGGCCTGTATCAGACGGACACTGGCTAGCTCATGCGCGTATGTCGTCTCTGCGTGTATATAAACATGTGGGTGACATAGCCACATAGGGGAGCGAGAGAGTGGTTGAAACTTGAAAGGCCACTGTAGTGATGGAGGCGCTGCTAGTATTTGATTGAATTTTTTTGCCAATTTTTCCCGTTCTATTTTATTAGCTATCCTGCCAATTCTACAACTGCAAGATCAAAGTGTTGTTCTTGGTTCATTATAGCCAGTAGTGATGTCCAACTGCTTACGTACAGGTAGCCGGGTACGTACCGCCTGCCTGCCTGCCTGCCGCCGGCGCCTTTCTCTTTCGGCACTCATTGTAGAGTACGCAGGACGCGTCCAGTACGTACAGTAGTACGTAGCTCCATCATTCCTCTTTCTTTCAGTAAGTATTCCTTCCTCCACAAAGTTGATTAGGCAGAAAGCCGATCGTCATGCATGATCATTCATCCATTCATCCATATATTCGAAACCCACATAAGTCCATCCGTGCGTGTCCACTCCATTCCAACCCTATGTGTTCATCATCCTTTGACACAGAAGAATTCGACGGCGAAAACAAAAACAGTACCGTCACATGTCAACATGTGGCTACAGAATATATAGATCCACGGCACGGCAGTTGAGGATTAGCGTGCAAGTCATATATACAATCACCAGGATCGACGTCGCCGGATGTCACGGCCTCGTGTGTCACGCGGTGCCTAACCTAGTCACTCGTCCACGTTCATTGGTCGGCCCGAGCGACCCATCGACGGAGATGGATGGATTACGTCTTCCACTGCATGGTGTGATTAATTCAACTTCATGCCATGCCAACCCTTCCTCAACTGCTATGCTTACGTCTTATTTCAGGCTGCCGATCGATTATTGCGTAAGCCTCAGCTCTTACTTAAGCCTTTCAGTTAACTGGTCTCTTCTACGCGACAGCTCGAGTATTTATTACATTGGGGACATGTCAGGATTGTCACTATGCATCTGTAATGTTTCGCGGGGCACCTCTCAATAATGGATTGTTTTAGTTTCAAGCGGTTGAATGGCGAAGAAACAAGGCTAGAAACATCTGGGTTCCATGGACTACAAAATATGATCATGGTGGCGAGCAGTTGGGACAGAAGACTTGTGATGCTGTGCGTACGCGCATGGATAGTGCTCACAGTTAATCATACAATCATAAAAATATAGACTAGTGCTGTAGCAAGCAGTTGGGCCGGCGCTACGTACTCCTCAAGTGCAAACCGAAAAGCTAGCATGGCACGTACGTGCATCAGGCGCTAGTGGGCGTGGGCGTGGGCGCGCTTGCTGGAGGTCGAGGACGGCGGCGGGGCGAGCAGGTGGTCGCAGAGGGCGGCGAACTCGGCCAAGACGTCGGCGACCATCCCGGCCCTGCCCTTGCCGACGAGCAGCCGCACCAGCGCGCCCACCCGCGCGTCGGGCTCCTCCAGGCGCTGCCCGCGGGGAGGCTCCTGGAGGCGCCGGAGCAGGGCGCGCGCGTGGCGGGCGGCCCCGGGCAGCGTGCCCGCGCGGAGCGACGCGTCGGCCAGCGCGGCCGCGTAGCCCGTGGCGGCGCGGCTGCTGGTGATGGTGCTGGTGCTTGCACGCGCCTGGCGCGCCGCCGGGGCGGCGGAGACCGACGATGACGAGGAGGAGCGCCGGGGCGGCGCGGTCACGGTCAGGCGCGCGGAGATGGAGGAGGAGTGACGCGGGTGCCTGAGGTGGAGCGCGCGGTGGTGGTGGTGGGGCTGGAGGGAGGCGGCGGCGGCGGGGAGCGCCCCGTGGTGGTGCAGGGACACGGCCGCGTCCATGGCGCCGGGTGTGGAACGGAGCGACCGAACGAGTGGCGGCGGTGGCTTATGCTTACGCTGGCTGATCTGCGCCCCGTTCTCGGATTGGGTTGGGTTTGGCGTTTGGTTGGGCGACGTGGACGCACGCGCGCACGGCGGACGGACGGTGAACCGGGCGCACCCGGCGACGTGGCCACGGCCACGCAGCAAGAGCAAGTGGCCGGCGTGGGCCAGAGCGGGAAAAGACACCGGGGATTATTTTTTCCGAAATCTCTCTAACTTTATTAAACTTCGGTGATCTTCATCGGTAAGACCAACCAAATGTGACTGCCTACTTCTAAAGTACAAGCATATTTATTCTCAAATGATAACACCCATACATGTGACATATCTGCACTTCATCCACACGTTTTGATCTCCGTTTGTTATGTTTTGCACGAATCTTAAAGAAACATGTTGAAATTTCAGAACCACGTAGGCATAGCATGTTGTGTGGGCGTTAGAGCGCTCGCCCATATGATCAGCGGGGCGTGGTTGACAGCTGCGCCCTGTGGGCGAATCAGTTTTCGTCCACACAGTCATCATCTAGTCCACACGCGTGTGCTGAAACTGCACACAGAAACTCCCTCATGCGTCCTTTAACTTCCGCGATAATTTGCGCGCCGGGGATTTTTATTATGTTCGTTGTTTCGTGGGCTCGTCAGCTTATCCTGGGCCTTCTCCACGCAAGTTGCGCGACAGCTACGGCACTGGACTGGACCAATTAGCCCGCTTTATGACTTGCTTGTTGTGTCCGGCTGCGCGGGCAGAGGAGAAGAGATGCCCATTGATTCTCCGTGGTGTAAAGCGATTCCGGCCTGCCCGGGGCCAGGAAACAGGAAGGGTGTTCGTTCCGGTGAGCTCTCGCATGCCACCCATGCTGCATTTTGAACGGGGGGACAGAACCGGCGTGCTACGTTTCAGGTACGATATTTTTTGTTATGTTAGTCACCTTTTTTCTTCTATTGCGGGGCGCAAGATGGGGAGGTCGGACCTCGATAGAAAAGAAGCAACCTCGTCGAAGAAGAAAAAAAGTTAGATCAACCCAAGGCTAACCCTCGTTGGCCTTTTTTATAGGAGAAACTCCGCGAGCGCTGCGTGTTAGAGCCAAGGCTTGAACCCGGGCAGACTAGCAACTACCTCAACTGCCCAGCCAACGGGTCGACACTCCGTCCTCACCTCGCCGGAGAAGAAGCAACCCCACTATCTATCTTAGGGATGTGGGGTGCATATTCACTAGGGAGCAACCTCAGTATTTATCTTAGAGGTGCGGGGTGCGGGCGAATCGTCGGAGTAGTTCACTGGTGCAGAGCTTAGGGGGATGGTCAGGGTGATGGCCAACAACGACGGTGGGGGGAGGTTGAGGAGAGGGCGGGCGGCGAGGTGATGCGCGATAGCGCCCGTCAGTCGCGGGTGGTGGAGGCCGGCCATTGGGATAGGGCAGGCAGAAGGAAGAAGAGAGGAGGAAGGTTCTATTTTGGACCGTTGGATTAAGAGCTAGTGGTGACTGATAGATGAATCGCTTTCAGGTACTTGACGTGTAGTATGTCCCTAATAATATCGAGAAGACATCAATTACTTCCGACTTTCGAAATGATATGATTCAAAAGCTACATACCAAGAATACATGCAACCAAATTATTACAAAAGAAAGAAAGAAAATGACGAGAACGACCGCAGCAAACGACAACAACCATTAATGATCACCACCATCATATTTAGGTAAGAAAATGGAGCGAAAATGAACGGAACTGATTGCTGGCACATTTTTCTTGAAAGTGGCAGGGTTTTCACAGCAGAGCCGACGGCCAGCGAGGTGAGATTTTGTCCCAACAACATGAGTTACTAGGTATTGGTGTTATGGTTACTATGCCATTACATGAGTTTTATCGAGTGCTGGACTGACCCACATAGACATAGAAAATGGAAAGTTCCATACACGAAAAATGTTGTTCCACTTTTGTTTCCGTGTAAGAAATTCCGTTTCTGTTTTCCTTTCACAATATTAAGTTTTTTCTTGAAACAGAAGCAAACTATTTGCCTCATATATTAAACAAGAAGTGAATAAAGTTAGTGTTACAATTACCCTTACAAACAAAAGGATGACTCTGCCGTCATCAAATTCCCTAAATGGTTAGTCCCCGCAGTGATCCACAGCTTCATCTCGTCAACCACCGTGTTAAGAAGAATTGTCGGTGGGGTACACTTATAACGGAAGACTCTAGTGTTTTTCTCATTCCAAATTGACCAAGAAACCAACAAGATTGAAGATGCCATGGCCTTCCTATTTGGGATACTAGAGCCGGAACAACTAGACCACCAATACTTGACGGAGCATTGGAGGTGCCAAAGGGACGTGTCAATGTTGGTTAGATGAAGCTTGTTAATCACCATGTTCCATAGGCGTAACGTGGACTGACACTTGAAGAACAGGTGATCACCGGATTCTTGGACTCTCTTGAAAAGTGGGCATAGCCCACAATTCGGCCATCCACGCTTTGCCAACCTATCGTCCATACAAATTAGATCTTGGAGAGCCAATCAAGCGACAAAAATCGTTTTTGGCGGTGCTAAAGCCTTCCATACCATGCGATCCATCATAGAGAGGGTCATTCCTAGGAATTGTGCTTTACGCGGAAGCCGCCGAATAGTGCCCCGAGGCCGTGTGCTTCCAAATGATATCATCTTTGGTTTGGTCATCAAGGTTAACATCTGAGGAGCATCCGAATCATGAAAAATTCACATGTGTGCTAGGCGGAAACTATATTAGAAGCTTTGATTTTGAATATTCATGCATTACCATGAAGTGACTCTCGAACTTTCCATTTTTTTCTTGAGGAAGCCTCAAAGATAAGAGGTGCAATATCCATGTTCTTTCGCCCAAGAAGCCAAGGCAAGCTCCAAAATGGTGTTTTCGCACAATTGCAGATGGTGATGGTGGAAAAAGCATAGAAGAATTTGAGATCATACTCATCACATGGGTTCCGCATCTCCACACAAAGCTTGGAAGGCTCTTTCCATTCATACCAAGGCTAAGGTAACCTAAGAACACGTGTGAATTTGTCGGTATTGAGCACGCCTAATCCACCATACTCCGAAGGACGACAAACCGCCTCCCAGTTGACCTTGCATTTTGCCCCGGTCGTCTTGTCCGAAGCGGCCCAAATGAAAGCTTATTCGAGCTTGTTGATGTCGTGGAGTATGCCCGACGAAACCACAAGCAGTGTGATAAAGTAGATGGCTTGGGAGGTGATCACCGACTTGACGAGGGTCGGGCGACCAATGGAGGTTATGTTATGACCCTCCCAAGTGACTAGCTTTCCTGCAACCTTGTCCACACGGTACTGCTGATCCACCTCTTTAAGGCACAAAACGGATAGGAGCAACCCCAAATAAGGCATTGCGAAGGAGGCTCTTGTGGCCGGCAAGCTTCGCAAAATTTTCTCAAGATTGATATGATCGCATCGAATAGGCACCACCGAGCTCTTGTGAAGTGCATAAGCTCGTGACACTCTCAATTCCTCTCAAGATGGCCATGCAGTTATCAATGTCGCCCTTGATGGGGGCCATAAAGATTGCCGCGTCATCGCATATAGCGAGGTACGCACCACAGCGCCCCTCCCATGAATCTTGTGTAGGATGCCATTGCCAACTCA